GAGGTTCGAAGGTGGGGTAATCCTTCTACGTCCTCAAAATCCACTATGTAGTTGGTTGTTGAATAATGAACCAACAATTACACTTGTGTGAATTTCTGCACGGTATATCTTCGCAAGACCAATGTTGCTACTGCACTCGTGCTGGCTTTGTTGTTCCTTCGAAGGTCACGCTTCTTCAACAACTGCAAGATCCGAACAATAGGACTTGCAAGATCAACTTGTAAGAAAGTTGACCAACCCCCTTTTTAATCAAGAAGTTTGATCAAAAAGTTGTATCCTTCAACGTGGTGTGGTACTTGAGGCAAGGAAACCTTCAAGTGTTTACACTATAGCTCTTTGGAAGGAGTGGAAGTTTGCTTCTGGATAAGGAGTTTAGAGATTCTCTCTTTATCAAGCTTTTTGGGCTAACTGTGAATGAGATAGCTTAGAGATTGCTTTGTTCAAAAATTCATGCACTTGTTCATGCTTCCTCCAGTCTTCCAAGGATGCTATTTATAGCTGGATTGGATAATCTATCCGTTGAATCATAATAGACTATCCGTTGCATTTGCTGGCTTCAATTTTGAATGAAGATTGTGAATTGAAGATTTTTCGTTGCAGTGGGTGTTTGGACGTACCCAATTGTTGAGAAGAGATTCCAATTTTTCACAGAATCCGTCTTCTAGCTGTTGTTCAAGAATTCTGAACTGTAGCACTTTACCCTGTTTGTCTTCTAGTGCTTGTTTAGGAATTCTGGACGAGCTCTTCAATTTTAGAGGTCCAGACTTCGTCTTCGAGCTATTTGTTCTTGAATCAGCATAATTATCTTCAATCTAGCCGTTGAGAATCAAGAGATCGATTCTTCCTTACCACCGGGTAGAGTTTCTTCATTCAGGACTTAGATAATTTTCCAAGTCTTTTTCCCACTTGTCCGCTTTTTGAGAATTCCGGGCTTCAATGAGTCTTCCGTTTCTTAGCTGACAAATCCGGAGAGGTCATTCTGAGTCTTCCGGGTGAGAAGGAGTTCCGCGCTAGTCTTCCGACTTAGCCTAAGCGGGTAGTAGCGAGACATCCGGTTTTCATGTAGTCTTTCGGAATAGAGGATCTTCATTTTCTTGAGAAATCCTTACATGTCTCTGACATTTCCGATCAAGGTATCCGATTTCCATATCACGAATTTGATTAAGTCTTCAGGCATCAAAACGCTTAAAGGATAATCACAATTTTATTGGAAATCTCAAGAGCTCGGTTTTGACAATATTTCTAAAAAGAAAAATTACATTGAATATTGGGGGAGACCTAAAGTCCCTATTACATTCTAAATACATCATCATCAAAATCTATAATATTTTTCCCAACATAGACCATTCTTTAAATAAAATGGATTGAAAAATTCAAAAAATTACTTCGTTTAGTGTAATGTTGCTTATATTTTGGGACGGAGGGAGTATGTAATTTGAAACATTTCTTGCACTTGATATTCAACTATTCCCGAACAACTGGCTAGGGGTGTAAACGGATAATATCCGTGACGGATATGGCATATCCGAATCCGTATCCGTTTAAGTTTAGGAATATCCGAATTTGTATCCGTATCCGGCGGATATGTACTATACTATATCCGAATCCGTATCCGACGGATAATTATGAGTTTCGGATATATCTGAATCCGATTAGATATCCGAAAGTAACCGAATATCCGAATCCGATTAGATATTCGAAAGTAACCGAATCCGAAAATATCCGAGTCCATTAAAAAATCCAATTAGATATCCGAATCTATTTATAAATAAATTAAACACAGTCCAANTCATCAAAATCTATAATATTTTTCCCAACAATTTCCCCCTTTTTGATGATGACAAACAAGTGTTTAAGAGTTCCGGTCGCTGTACTGAGAACTAATTTTATAACTTTCTTTTAGTTTCTCATAATATACAGCTTGTTAACAAAAACTCTTAAGCAAATACAATTCAAATTACAATAATTCCTAAACCAAGTCTTGTCTTGAGATTTTGTGATATCTTCCGCCATTGACCATTTTCAGATGCAGCAGATCTTGCTTGGCGAAATGGTTGGCGTTGCGTTTAATAGATCTTTATTATCCAAAGTGGATAACCAAGATCTTGGAAGCAACACATCTCTCAAAAGAATAAAAACAAAGAGAGGTGGAGGGAAAGGAGGCGGCGGTGAAAGAGGCAGAAGGGAAAGATTTTGGAAAAGATTTTAAAGACGAAGAAAAAAAATTTTGAAAAAGAGAAGTATCGCCAAAAAGAATTGGGATGACTACTCCAAAGAGTTTTTAAAGATGAAAAAAAATATTTAAAGAAATTTTAAGAAAGAGAATAACTTCTGCACAAAAAGTTTAAAGAAAAAGTGAAGAGGGAGAAGGGTGCAGAGGTTATCTCAAAAATAAAATTTGAAGAAAGTAAAGAAAGAAAAGGCGAAATAAGAAAAATAAAAAGAGAGAGTGTTGTTCCAGAGAAAGTGTATGATCTAATCCCGAAAAATACGAGAATAGCATCATATACTATCTCTACTGCCGAGAATTGCATCATATACTATGAATTGCTTTCCTTCTCACTAGGCTTTCTCCATTGCCGTCTATGAGGGTGAGGAAGAGAAGTTTCTCCATTGAGAGTATATTATATGATGTTTTTCTTAGACAAAGAACTTGAAGACTTTCATATATGAGAGAGTTGTTTGTGATGGAAATGGATTGGAATGTCTTGATTTAAATAGGGGAGGAGGAAGTTCACGGGTTCCATTGATTGGGTAGTTGGAACGGTGAGAGTAAAAGAGTTTCAACTTCCAAGAAGTTGAATTTTGAAGGGTGAAGGAATCTTAAACTGACTTCCAAAAGAGTTGAAACTATTCAATTAAGAACTTAGTTTCGTTTGGTTTGAGAAACGTAACTACTTTGATTTGGCTAAGCCCAAAAGAGTGGCCCAAAAATAAAGCTATGTACTAAAGGGAAATTATTCCTATTGGGTTCACAAGGCCCAAAATAAAGCTATCATTTTTCATTTCCTATAGTTCTAAATTCTAAGTAGGATGAGGTAGTACCAAAACAATTATTAATTTTAATTTTAAAAAAATGGTACTATTATTCCAAAGTCCTGTACATTATTAAAAATCCTAAGGACCAGTACTTTTAGAGCTAATTTGGAAATGAATTAAGGACTAAAGCTTAGGTTTAAGAAGACAGATTTTGTAAAGTACCTGAATCGGAGAATTCCAGTTTTAGTACCAAAACTGAGATATCCGTCTTCCATTGCTTAGCGCTTATCAATAATTCATTGCCAAAAACAGTTGTTAGCCAAAAACTAGTTAAGTTCCCCCTGAATGTATGCGCTTCAGAAAATCAAAAGCATAATCAAGCATAATAGGCATACTTATGAACAATGTTTAAACCAATCAAGTAATGTTTAAACAGGAAGGTATTTTCATCAAAACAAAAGTGTTTTCACATACTTTCCCCCTGATTTGATGAAATAAACCTTCAGTTTCTCTTGCTCTTGGAAGATCCGGCAACCTCACTGATGCCTTGCATGTTGCCACAGAGTTCTTTGATGCGCCTTAAATTCTCACGCCTTTCCTCTGCTTGAGCATCATCTGAGAAGTGATCAGCTACTGCACCTACAAATTCTGTTTCATCCAGTCCTGCGCTGGATAGATGCTGAGCTGAGTTCTCCGGATTCCTTTGCTGTGCTCCAAGAATCAGGTTAGTCATGTTCAGATGAGAAGGAATGTAAGAGGCTTCTCCTTCGTTGACTGCAATTGGGAGAGGGGGTATTGGAGATGGGCTGTGTTGCTGAAGGATCACTTCCATCTTGCGGTTCCCAGACTTTGCGCCAAGAAGTCTGAACAGCTTGTATGCTTCCTTCTGGTTGTCAATAATCACCTTCAAGTAGTCTTTGATTACTACTTGATTTGCTGAAGCTACTGCTAGGGCTGCTCTGATGTCCATTTGGAGAAGGGACATCTGCTTTTGTAGATTGACTGTGACACTGGCTATATGCTCCTTGACTTTGTTGAATTCATTGAATTGCAGTTGACTGTCAGAGGTGTATACTTCCATCGTGTTGCTCACAGTTTTACTCAATAGAGAGATGATCTCTAGAGTTTTGTCTACTGATTTACTTATCTCCCTGAGATCAGCGCTATGTTTTTCTTCTGATTTTTCTAGCAGTTCTCTATATTTGGCTTCCATTTGCTCTATCTCTTGCCTAAAGGTGGCATGTTGAGATGCTAGGGCAGACTTAATCAGCCCTTGGACCTTCTTTGTCCAGACTTCCGGTATCTCATCCGGAAGGGTAGAAGTGGTAGAGCTATGAAAATGGAAATTGGTTACATGATGAGAAGTTGAAGTCCTTTGGAATAGTTGCAAAGGAAGAGATTCAGCATCTTCTTGTTCATCTTCTTCATCAGTAACCTTCATTTTTCTTTCAGATTTTCCCTCAGCTCCTTCAAGGACAAAATTTGATATGTATCTGGATAGGGAATCACTATCTTCATGTGCATTCTGTTCTTCAAAGATGGCTGCTGGAGTTTGAGAGACCTCCACTTCTTCCATTTGAGTGGCCTTGTCAGCTTCTTCAGAATGCCTTTGCACTTCAACATCTTGCCCTGACTGCTCCGGAATTTCTGTTGACTTATCCGGAATCTCAGGTTCTGGCTGGTTGGAGATCTCACAAGGAGTTGTGAGGATCTCTAAGACCTGAGGTTGGATTAGCTGCTGAGATTCTTCTTCTGCTGCTGGTTCCTGGTTCTGCTCTTGTGGGGGAGAGGCTGCTTTTTCTCCAGTCAGAACCATTTTAGAAGCAGGTGAGGTTTCTGGAAAGATGGGAAAATCCTCAGCTGTTGCTTCCAAGTCAGCTATTTCTTCAGCGGTCAGAATCTTTTGTTCTTCTGTGGCATTGGCGAAGACTGGCTTGAAGACTGCAGTGTCTTCATCATCTGCTTCATAGTCTGAAACTGGTGTGGAGGCCAGGTACTCCATATGTAGGTCTTCAGAGTTTCTTTGCCATACCCAGTAGTCATCCAGAATTTGTTCACAGTTGTGATTGACTGGAATACCTAAGCACTTCTTGATGATTTGCTCATTCTTCAATTGTTGGTCCCAATCCAACAGTTGGTCTGCTGAATTTCCAACTTTCCATGCTTTCCAATGAAAGTACAGCTGCCAGAATTTGTTTTCAGCATCATCTGTTTGAGGCTGAGATGATGAGGTTGAAAGGCTTTGGTCCTGAGGGATTTCTTCTTCAAGTTGTTGAGGACTCCGGTTCTGAGCAGAGGATTCCTCAACATTTTCCTTCTCCTTCAACTCTTCCGGATTGACATTTCCGGAGATTGATGGAGAGTTGATCTTCCTCTTCTTCTTCCTTTGAAGTTCTCCATGGTCAGAGACTTCATCCTCTTCTTCCAAACATGCTAAGGCAAGGTTCTGAGGTGCTTCAATGCTTGGGGAGGGGGACACCACTTGCTTTCTTTTGGCAGTCTTTGCCAACTGGATGAGTGGCAAATTGTCTGAAGAGCTTTCTTCTGCAGTGGCACTAGCACTAGCTCTGTTCTCTCCTTTGGAAGACAGATAGTACAGCCAATATCTGGTTTCATACTTCTTCCCTTTCACTGCAGCACCCATAGATTCCAGAATATGTCCAACATAGAGTCCTTAGCAGAGATACTTCTGATTTGGCTTTCCCAAATGTTTTGAGATGGAGTTGAAGAAGTGTGCAGCCCAGTTTACCTTTGTTTTGGTAATGAGAGCTTTTATGATGAAGGCTCTCTCCTGGGTGATGTCATCTGCATGACCTCCACTTCCACACTCGAGGCAGGCGATGACCAACTCCAAGACCAACTTGTAGTCGTTGTTCAGATCTGCTTTCTTCGCTTGCCCAGAAGGAATTTGTCCAGAATTTCCAATAACATTCCAGTCCAGATTTTTGGCTGGGAGTTTTCCAACTTCAACTCCAGAATTGGGAAGGCGAAGCTTTTCCCCCAAATTTTTCTGCGAAAGCTTCACTTTGATTCCTCCCACAGTTGATTTGATGACTGGAAACGTCCTTTGTGGGTCCTTCTTAGATTTGGCAGTCTTGACTTCTCCATTCCTGTAGAATTCAAGAACTTCTTCCTCGTATTTGAGGCGAATCTCCATTTGAAGAAATTCAGTGAGTTCTTGAGCGCCTATCATCTCCATATAGCTTTGAAAGAATGTCGCAGAGGAGCATTTTGCTTCCAACTTCTGGAAATGGACAGTTGCTCCAACAATCTTCATTTTCTCAGAAGTTTGAGTGAAGATTTGAAGAATTTAGGGTTTTTGAGAGAATTTTGATTTCTCACAAAGAAGATGACGAAACAGAGATTTGAAAAGTGGCGATTGAGCTTAATTTGGGCGTTTTATGCGGCTGGTGGCGATTGGGTTTTTGACTATTCCCAAGACCACGTGCCTACCCAATGTTTTGACAGACGTGGAAAGTAGTCTGCCACGTGTACCTCACTTAGTCTAATTGAATTAGACCAATTTTGTGAAGCAAACCGGAAAACTTGGCTTCACTTAGTGGTTTTGTGAAGATATCCGCCAGTTGTTCTTCAGTTGAGATATACTCAATTTTGATATCCTTCTTTTCCACATGATCTCTGATGAAGTGGTGCTTGACATCAATGTGCTTGGTGCGAGAATGATGCACTGGATTTTGAGAAATGGCTATAGCACTTTGATTGTCACAAAAGATTGTCACTTCCTTTGTCTTGCTCCATAGTCCAGTAGTTGTTGCTTCAGCCACAAAATCTGAGCACAACAACTACCAGCAGCAATGTACTCTGCTTCTGCTGTTGATGTAGAAATGGAGTTTTGTTTCTTACTGAACCAAGAAACAAGATTTCCGCCAATGAATTGACAAGTACCAGATGTACTTTTCTGGTCAACTTTGCATCCGGCAAAGTCAGAGTCTGAGTATCCCACTAACTCAAATGAATTGCTCTTAGCATACCACAAATCCATGTTCTGAGTTCTTTTGAGGTATCTAAGAATTCTCTTAGCTGCTATCAAATGACTTTCCTTTGGCTTTGACTGGAATCTGGCACAAACACCTACTGCATATGAAATATCCGGACGGCTTGCAGTAAGGTAAAGTAGAGATCCGACAATTCCTCTGTAGAGAGTTTGATCTACATCCTTTCCATCTACATCCATATCAAGCTTAGTGGATGTACTCATGGGAACAGAAACGGATGACTTCTGATCAACGTTGAATTTCTTGATAAGATCCCTTGTGTACTTCGCTTGGTTGATGAGAGTGCCTTCACTTCTCTGCTTGATTTGAAGGCCAAGGAAGTAGTTGAGTTCCCCCATCATGCTCATCTCAAATTTTCCTTGCATGAGGGTTGAGAACTTGGTGCATAGATTTTCCTTAGTTGAGCCAAATATTATGTCGTCCACATAGATTTGGACTAATAGGAGATCTTCACCATCTTGTAGTTTGAACAATGTCTTGTCAATGACTCCTTTGGTAAATCCATTGTCTATAAGAAATTGAGACAATGTATCATACCAAGCTCTTGGTGCTTGTTTGAGTCCATACAGTGCCTTTTTGAGTCTGTACACTTGATCTCCCTTAGTGTGTAACTCAAATCCTGGAGGTTGTTCCACATAGACTTCTTCCTCTAGGTTTCCGTTGAGAAATGCACTTTTGACATCCATTAGATAGACCTTGAAGTCCTTATGAGCAGCAAAGGCTAGAAACAGCCTTATAGCTTCAAGTCTAGCAACTGGAGCGAAGGTTTCATCAAAATCTATACCTTCTTCTTGACAATATCCTTTTGCAACTAACCGGGCCTTGTTTCTGACAACAACGCCGTTTTCATCCATCTTGTTCCGGAAGACCCACTTTGTCCCAATGACATGTTGATGAGTAGGTCTGGGAACAAGTTTC